GGCTACTCAAATATTTTACGTTTTTGATACTAAATTAACTTCTGAAGTATAATTTTTTATTGTTTTTATATCTTTCAATATATTTATTTTGTTTGTACAAAATAAAAAAATAAATTTTAACGATACAATAGTCTTCGTTAGGCTTAACATCGACGAAAATTCAACGCGAAGCGACACACAACGGAGAAAAATTTCAACACGGAATAACTTATTATATTTTTTCGTACATAATTGGTTATCCGAAAAATAAGTTATCCGAACAACTCCAGTCCCCAATTGATTCGGATAAACGACGCTCTACTGCATTATATTTATAACGTGTCAATTTTAAATAAAAACAGACTTTAAGGCTAGATTGTAAATTGAGTTTAAGCAATTTTCAAAACTTCCAGTTTTATTTTTGATGCTTTTACTTTCCCGTTTCTGTTATAGGAAAGTATGGTGATCGGTCAAAAATTACTACCTCCCAAGAATTTTACATTTTTGGACTCAGGTGCCGAGTCAAAAATGTAAAAATCTTGAAACGTCGAAAAAAGCAAAAATAATTTGTTTTAAATCGGGGTTTTTTTGTATGTGTGGATGTGGGGGGCACGATTTTGTTCATCCTTTTTGGAGCTTAATAACTCATTTGTCTTTTATCGATAAATTCTGAAGTTTTGCAGGAAAGTTAACCTCTGAACTTCATCAAGTACAGGTTTAAGAAATAAAAGAAATAAGAAAATTTCTTTGAACATCAAACATTGAGACAAAATTTCTGCCGTATAACATCTTTCGTTTGTTCTGGCCAAATTAAAATTTGCCTTTAAATCATTCCATTGTCTCAAAATTCTATCAATAGCGGTCTGAATTGACATCCAACGAATCTCACTACTTTGTACTAATTTCAATGGTTCATTTCCATCATTCATCAAAGAATAGAGTTCCTTGTATTTGGATTGTCTAATCGCAGAATGAGAAAACCAATTAAATGTTTCTTTAATAAGAAATTCTATATTTCTTGGAAGGCCTTCTTTTGTAGCGTGGGAAATCGCTAATTGTAATGAATGACAGAGGCAACGTACCAGAATCAAAGCAGGTACTTCGGCTTTGAGTTTAGCATATACACCATTATTGATTCCTATCATTACAGAAGCGTTATCTGTTCCAATTGCAACGAGTTTATGCAAATCCAAGGCATTATTTCTCAAGGAAAATTTAATTGCTTCACAAATTGCATCAGCATTGCACTCTTTAAGTGGTACTAAATCTAAAAAAGTTGTAGTTATGCATTTTCTATTTTGAGAGTAATATCTAATTACAGTACAATACCTAAAAGCTTGGAAACTGAAATGTCATTACTTTCGTCAATTAGTAAACTATAGTTGCTATCACCTATATCAACTATTAAATTTTCTTTAAAATGTGGTGCTAAAACATTTGAAATTATGGCTGAACATTTTGTTCGTCCAAGAGTCAGATTATTACAACTTTTGCTATCTGAAAAATTTGTTGTACAGAATTTAGTTAGTTTGTCTACATGACTAATAGGACAACTTTCTGCTATAAAAAGCGCCATATTTCCCTCTGTTCTATGAACATTTGAACTTTTCATAAATGGAAGAATATTTGCACTCCGCTGAATGCTAAACGATGGCTCGGCTTTTATATGTTTTTGAGTTTTCCTATGCTTTTCTAAATCACTTACTTTTGCTATCAAAATGCAGTTACAATATTTACAGCGACACTTTGTATTTTCTCCTTCTATTTTCTGCAACCAGTTTTTAAACCTATCGTCACGAAGCCATTCTATTCGAAATTTTTGAGTGTATTTTCTTTCATTTGACATTTTCACTGATGTCAGGGTAATAAATAATAAACTGCAATACCAATAAATAATAGTTAATAATATTATCACAAAATGACACTATATTAATGCACTTGGTTACTCACCATGCGGGATAGGTAACTTATATAAGGATTCCGAAATTTTGAATGGAGATCACTGTCAGTTTTCTTAAAGTTCGATAAACTATTTGAATCAGGATTGGACCTGTTACCGATAGTCGTGATGATAATGCCCACTAAGCTCCGTCCCCTTTAAAAATATTTACCATATTTGGTCATGATATGAAAACTTGAGCTCTGATTAGTGTTGCCACTTATTAAAAATAAGATTTGCGACTCATGCACATAATTATTGCACATTAAAGATAATATAAATTAATAAATTTATTAAATTTTTTGATTTCGTGGAAAATCTCTAAAATGTAGCTAAATTTACTAAAATATCTCTAAGAAAAATCTCCGTCGCTAAATTTCAAAAAAAGGTGCTAACTAAAGCAAAAACTCGCCAAATATAGCGACTTTTTCGCTAAATTGGCAACGCTACAGGCAGGCAGACAAACGACGGATGGACGACAGTGGAAATTTATAGGTCTACAATTTTTTTCAAATTATAGCCCAAAAAATTCCGGGAAATCCTAAAATTTTAAATCAAGATGTAAAACATTTTGGAAAACTCTCCGATGTATACACGACAATATCCAGCAGTTCACTGGGAAAAGGATTAATATAATAAGTGACAGCAAAACAGCCCTGCAACAGATAAAAAAAGGAAACCGTAAACTCCCCATCATAAGTAATTGTCTGGACACATTAAGCGCCCTCGCCAGTGTGACCCACATTACCTTTTATTGGGTCAGGGGTCACTCCGGCAATATCGGAAATGAAACGGTGGACAAACTGGCAAAGAAGGCTCATAATCTAGCCTGCACATACTCCTACACCTCCCTTCCCATCTCCTTCCTCAGTAAGGAACTTACTGCCATCACCATGTCAAGGTGGCAAAATGATTGGGACAGTAGCCACACAGGTCGGAATACCCACAACTTCCTCCCAGATGTCTATAGTAGGTTTCGCCTCACTTACCTGAGTATGACCCATACTATAACGCAGATTCTCACTGCTCACGGCAATTTCAAGTGCTACCTACATCGCTTCCTAAGAAAGGGAAATGGACTTTGCGACTGCCAAGTAAAAGAGAGGGATGACCCTTTCCACATCATATTCACTTGTACCAAATTCAATCAGTATCGTCAACAACTAAGAGACCTGACTACCCAAAAAGGACACAACTGGCCCTGCCACCTCAGTGCATTCCTCGAGGACAAGGACACATACACCAATTTCGTCAAATTCATCAACAACCTAAACTTAGCAGACTATCACACCACAATTGCTACTCAAGACAAAATGCCAGCTAACTCTCCGAATAGGCACAGCCAGCCTCCATAACTCCAGGACCCAAGGACAACAACAAAGTGCCACATTCTTCTAGGACTTAATCTGATTCCTCCATAAGGGTGTTTCTACTTCCTCGTATCACTCTTCAACACCCATCTTTTGCCTTCAATCTTAATGTAAGTCCAATCACGGCGCCAATTATCGTTTAGGTGTATCATCTATCGGTCACTATGTACATACATCATAAATGTAATTTTGTAATTCTTTGTTTTAATAAACAAATCCCAGCTGGCACCCCTCCTCCTCTTCCCCCTTCTTTTCCATTCCATATTCCTTTTATCCCTCCCCTCCTTTCCTTATTCCACCTCCAGACCTCTCCTTTTCCTTTCTCCTTCTAGGGCTATACCTCTGAGTAAGGCCTTACTCCCTCTTTTACCAACTGTATCTAAAAACGAGCAGTTATTTATTGTGACATCGTTACGATCCGGACTGCAATTTTTAATCATGTTCTTAATTTATTTAATTTA